GGCTCCCTGCTCAGCGGGAAGCCTGCTTCTCCCTCTCCCACTCCCCCTACTTGTGTTCCCTCTCTCGCTGTCTCTCTGTCAAATAAATAAATAAAGTCTTAAAAAAAAAAAAATACTGACAATACCAAGTGTTGGTGAGGCTATTGAGCAACTGGAACTCTCACACGCTGCTGGTGGGAAGGTAAAAACGCAACTACTCTGGAAATTTCTTATAATGTTAGACAAATGCTTACCATATGACCCAGAACTCCCACTCCTTGGCATTTATCCAAGAGAAATGAAAATGTGCATTCAGATGAAAACTCGTATTTATAACAACTTTATTTTTAATCTCCAAAGCCTGTACACAACCCAAATGCCCTTTAATGTGTGAATGAATAAACAAACTATCGCTTCTCGGCCTTTTGGCTAAGATCAAGTGTAGAATGAATAAACAAACTGTGGTAGACCCATATTCATCAATAAAGAGGAGTGAGCTATTGATACAGGCATCAACTGAGATGAACCTCAGAGTTATTTTTCTGAGTGAAAGAAGCCAGTCTCAAAAGATGGCATGCTATATGATTCCATTTATATGATATTCTAAACAAGCCCAAAACTATAGTGATGGAGACAGATCAGTGGTTGCCAAAGATTGAGAGCTGAGGGAGCATATGACTATAAAGGGATCACATGAAGGAATTTTTTTTAATTTTTTATTGTTATGTTAATCCCCATACATTACATCATTAGTTTTAGATGTAGTGTTCCATGATTCATTGTTTGTGCATAACACCCAGTGCTCCATGCAGAACGTGCCCTCCTCAATACCCATCACCAGGCTAACCCATCCTCCCACCCCCCTCCCCTCTAGAACCCTCAGTTTGTTTTTCAGAGTCCATCGTCTCTCATGGTTCGTTTCCCCCTCCGATTTACCCCCCTTTATTCTTCCACTCCTGCTATCTTCTTTTTTTTTTTTTCTTAACATATATTGCATTATTTGTTTCAGAGGTATAGATCTGTGATTCAACAGTCTTGCACAATTCACAGTGCTCACCATAGCACATACCCTCCCCGATGTCTATCACCCAGCCACCCCATCTCTCCCACCGCCCCCCCACTCCAGCAACCCTCAGTTTGTTTCCTGAGATTAAGAATTCCTCATATCAGTGAGGTCATATGATATATGTCTTTCTCTGATTGACTTATTTCACACGAAGGAATTTTATAAGGTTACAGTGGAACTATTCTGTATCCTGATTGTGGTGTGGTGGTAAAATTAATTTATATGTAGGTCAAAATTCATAGAACAGCACACCAGAAAAAAAAAAAGAGTCAATATTAGTATGTCACCTTAAAAAATAAATACATTCAACTGAGGTACCCATAAGTTTCCTAACTCATTATTCAGACTGTCACTGTTTGAACTCAGGTACCAAATAGATCTGGATAATGAAGGACAATTGTATTGTTAGTATGCTCTAATTTTGAAATTTATATAAATGGAATTATAATATTGGCTATAATATACTATATTTTTCATACATTTCTGGATTTTGCTTGATAAAATGTTGTTTAGCATTTTAAAATCTATTTTCATGGCAAGATTAGTTTCTTGTTTTTCTTACTTACCCTCCTTGCTGGTATCAAATTTATGCTAGACTCCTAAGATGAACCATGGAATATTTCTTTTGCTGATATTGTGTTGTTCTCTGAAAAATGTTTTTCTCTTTAATCTAGATTTTAGGTGTTTCATTTCAGTTATTTTATTTTTTTATTTCTAGAAGTTCCGTCTGGTTCTTTTTGCAGTATACTTGGTCATTCATTCAACACATATTTATTAGGTGCTTACTATGTTCTAAACATTGCTGAGCAGTGGGGATTCAGAAATAAATGAAACAAATCAAATTTGCTGCTCGTGGAATTTTAGATTCTAATGGAGGAAACAACAAAATAAATAAGGAAAATTTGCAGAATTTGAGGTAGTGATAAAAGCCAAAGAGACAAAGTGTGAACGGGAGATAGTGTTGCAACTTTGGAACAGGTGGCCAAAAAATTCTCTGAGAAGGTAACATTTGAGTAAAGATGGAAGGAAGAGGAAAGATTGAGTCATGTGGATATTGAGGAAAAGAGCATTCCAGAAAGCAAGTGCTAAGTCTCCAAGGCAGGCATGTTCTGGCGTACAAAAGTCAGTGAAAGAAACAGAAGGAGCAGCTGGAGACGAAGAGAAAAATCAGGAGGACGTGGTTTCTTAGAAGCCAGATTCTCTAGAAAGTGTTTCAAGGAAGAATGGAGTGATCTACTGTGTCAAAAGCTGCTGACAGTCAAGTAAGATAAGCACTGAGAATCAACCTTTGAACTTAGCAACAATTGAATTCAACTGCTGACCTTGATAAGTGCACATTCCATGAAGTATTTGGGAAAGGGGATAGCAAAAAGCCTTATTGGAGTGGGTTCAAGTCAAAATGGGGGGAGAGTGATTTGAGGTAGTGAGTATAATTAATCTTTGAAGGAGTTTTCCTTAAAAGGAAGAAATGCAGTAGAATATAGAGAGGTAAATGGAGTCAGGACATGTAGGTTTTTAAGTAATATGAAAGTGACAGTATGCTTATATGATGATGGCAATGACTCACTAGGGAGGGGAAAATGCTGCAGGAGATAGAGGAAAAATTTAAGAAGCGATATCATTGAGTAGGTAAGAGATTTAATCTAATGCACGTTAGTTGGGTTGTTCTAGCTAGAAACATGTACAATTTATTCATAGGAAGACGAGTAGAGGCACAGTAGATGTACAGAGTTGCGAATAAGCATGGTGGGGTGGTGGTAGCTTGTAGGAGTCTCCTTCTAATTGTTTCTATTTTCTTAGTAATATGGAAAGGAAAGAAGGTGGAAATGTTAGATTTGCGAAGAGATTAGAAGCTGTGAAATAGTCATCTAGGGGTGTAGAGAGGTTGTCTGGACTAAGGAAATAGAGTTTGACTGTGAGGTAGCATTAAGGACCCTCTTGAGATTATTAATATTTATGAATTTAAAAAGAGGCAATTCTTTCTCCAGCCACATTTAGCTCTCTGGATTTGGACATGTGTCAGGTAGAAAGCTGGACTTAATTAAGGCTATAGCAAGTATGAGAGTATAATAAATCAAGAGAGAGGCAAGAGAGTAACTGAAATGATTGACCATTAAATTTTAACTGAGTAAGGATGGAAGTGAAACATGAGATGGGTGAGGAATAGTGAAGAGTAGTGATGACCATAAACTTTACAGTCTGATGGAAAAGGAGTTTTGGAGGCCAAAGTAAGAGCTAGAAATGTAGGGAGTGGTGATTGGATAGTGGAATGTTTGAAATTAGGATTATGGAGGGATTGCAATGTATTGGTGGTCACAAGATATGAGGTATGACCATGGGAATAAATGACTGAGATAGGATGGAGGTAGAAGAGAGGAGGTCAAGGAACTAAGGGGCCATGATTTGGGAAGACTGAACTATGTGGATATTGAAATCACTGTGGGGGGGATAGTTAGAGAGCGTGATTGTGAGTCTGTGGTTAAAATCTTCATGGAATGAGAGAGCCCTAGGCATCAGTAGGTGACTTTCACAACAAGAGGTATAGGTGGTTTAATCTGATGTTATGAGAGTCAAAGCTAATTGTTTTTGGTAGAAGAGGCAGGGAATGAAGACAGTCTAAAAGAAGACATGAGAAGCTAGGTGTCACTTACCTGCCTTCAAACCTATGGTGTGTAAAGCATGGGAGGGAAAATAGCCACTGCCTCAGAGAGCTGTAGGAAACCAGGGCCATTGAGAAAGAACAAGATGAAGGGAATATTAACTGAAAAGGATGAGGATATGAACAATTTTACGTATGATTGACCATGAGTTCCAGAAGGCAAGTGAAAGCCTTTCAGGAAATAGTATATATTTAACCTGGGTAATAAATGTCCACAGTTG